GGTGACGCGCTGCGCCGGGCTCTCGCTGCCCACGTCCCGGCTGCAGACCCGACGGCGGTCCCTGGGGTTGCACCCCGCTGCGGGGAGTCACAGCAAAGGGGCCAGGTCTCTAAGTGAAACACCTGTTTCCAGAATAGCAGATAAAACTGCAGCATCGCAAGCGGGTCGGTGCTGGCGGTGCCACTAAAATCTCGGCCCGTCTCCCTGAAGAGGCTCCTTACGCGACTGGGCCCCGAAGGAGGTGCAGGGTGGGAAGGAAGCGGCTTCTCCCCCTGAGCTGTAGCTGCTTTTGTTGCATCGTTTCAGTATTCGGGCTGCTCTAATGAAAGCCCCTACAGCTCGGTCAGTCTTGTAAGTTCCAGGTTCTAGTTATGAGTGAGATGAAAATGCAGCAGTGAAATGGTTGAAGTGCTTGTAGCGTTGAAGACAGTCCACGTAAAATGACTTTTTGCATCTGCTTTATCATAGAGACTCGGGATTGCAGTTCTCTAGTGCAGAATAACCAAGCAAAACTGGCCGAGACTATCACTGAGACTGTGTGTGCCTGACAGAGAACTGCTGGGATGGGAAACAGTGCGTTAAAAGCCCACCTGGAGACAGCACAGAAAACTGGTGTGTTTCAGCTGACAGGAAAGGGACTCACAGAGGTAATGTGACCTCAGGGGAAATGTGTCTCTCTGTGTGCATGGCTGATGTTTTTGGGGAAGAATTCCCACCTCATTGTTATAAGGCACCCAGTTCATGTATTTCTCTGAAGTATGATGGATAATATTATTGCAATCAATTATTTTTTTTCCTTTTTGCAGAGTGGATTTTTGCTTACGCTGTCTTCTAATAGGGGATTTATCAGTCAGAGCACTTGTATGCTTATAAGCTTATGCTTTAGAGTTCGTGTATGTTCAAGAAGCCCAAGTTATGATGTGCTTTTTAAAATAGGCTGTAAACTTGAGGGGAAAAAAGGAAATTTTATAACCGTATTGTTACGTAGAAAGATACTCCACAATTTGTCATGTGTAGATACTTATGCTATATGTAATTGTAGTCACATGAATAGTCTGTGCAGGCTGTTTACTGAGCTGCAAACATCCTGAAGGTTATTATATCAGAAATTGTCTTGACTTATGCTCAACTACAGAAAAATACACAATGTCTTGGGACTGTAAGTCAAGTAACAATTCACAAGACAACTGAAATAACTATATTGCAGTAATTTTCTGTGCCTTCTTCCAGTACCCTATTTCTCTCTTCCTTTTTCTTCTGCCAAACCAAAGAGGAACCAAAACCATCAGTCTGTTGACCAGGATGCACTGATGATTGTCAGGTTTTTCTCTTTTTTTCAGCTCAACTCCAAGTGCAGATGGTACAGGATGTAAATAAAAATAAGGAAAAATGTTTTTATAATTATTTAAAAAGAAAAGTAAGAGAAAAAAATCCCAGTTCTACTCTGCTAAAATACAGAGTTGTTAACTAGCTGTAAAATATTTTAAAATGGCAGGCATATTTAAGAGAAACACACAAGAGGACTAAAACATAAACAATCTTGTGTCACAGTATATTTCTTTTCCTATTTTACTTTAAATTCTTTGGCTTATGAGCTACTCTTCCTAGATGTTAGACCGTCTCCTTTATATCCCTTTTCCCTTCCTCAGAGTAAAACATTTTTTAAAAATAGGTATTGAGCAAATTTGGCAACTTAGTTTCACACTGTAGTGATGGACATTGTGATGCCTGTGACAGTGTGTAATAGCGATACAAATTTCAATTACAGTTTCAAGCTGTGTAACTTGAACATTTGAAGTTGTATCGACTATTTAAATGCTGTATCTTTTTTCTCCCCCATAGTTTCCTGAAGATCTGCAGAAGCTAACAAGCAACTTAAGGACAATAGACTTGTCAAACAACAAAATAGAGCTCTTGCCACCAGTCATTGGAAAATTTTCCATCTTGAAGAGCCTTGCTCTAAACAACAACAAACTGAGTATGCCTGCTCATTAATATCTCCGCAGATTTTTAAAATAATAACCTGACATCTCTGATCAGAAACTAAATTTAATGACTTAAGTCTCACAGGATGTAAATGGGGAGTTTAGTCACCTAAAGTGAAATCTTTGGAATTCATGTACAGAAAAAAAAAACCAAAACCCAAAAGCATAAATTCTTCAAAACTAGTTGCCAACTTAGTTGTATTATCGGTTTTAAAATGACACATAAGTACTTTAAGCCATAAAACATTTCTGTGCTGTGATGTGTCTGATAGGAAGGTTTAACAGTGTTGGATGGTTTAGTACTTGCATAGGGAATGGGTAATAAAGATGACCTGTAGAAAATGTTGCTGGACATTCAGTGGTTGTTACAGTTTCCTTTGGACTTTATTGGACAATTAGGATGAGATGGAGAAACTAAACTTTTTTTTATGTGTTAATTGTGTATTACCTGCCTTTTTGAATAACAGCAGTAGTTTACAATCCTCTCTGACTCTAGTGGAATTCAAGAAGGGCTATAGGTTATATGCCTGTGTGGGTAGAATGAGGCATGAATGAAGGCCACCAGAGCTGACCTTGTGAGGCTTACACGCTGGTCTGATACAACAGGAATTATCTGAGAACTTAGTTTTGAGGGAGTTGAGTAGTACCTTTAGAGGGCTGCAGTGGACCTGAAGCTCCGAGTTGTGTGGTACTTCAAATGTCATAGAATACACTGGCAAGTGGTTAGTAAAGAGTATAACTAGTAGTCTGAAATTCACTTAGGGTAGTTTTTGGCCTGTGGAAAAGACAAGGTCTGCCTTGTCTGCAGATTATTTAGAATATGTTTATGAAAGATGGTTAAAAAGCATGTGTTGTTAGTGGACTTAAGTTTCCGTACCTGCATTTGATAATGGGGAGGAATCCTGTGAGAAATGACTGCAATATAGCAGTATTTTCCACGTAGAAGCTTATTTGAATTAAACGGGTATGACTGTTAACGGCTTTTAGTTTAGGTCATCTCTTTGTTTTGTCATTTATTTCTAGCTGCTTTACCTGAGGAGCTGTGTAAACTGAAAAAACTGGAGACACTACACTTGAATGGCAATCACTTGAGGCAGCTACCAGCTGCATTTGGACAGCTTTCAGCTCTCAAAACCCTGAGTCTTTCTGGAAACCAGCTTCAGACTGTGCCCTCACAACTCTGTGGTCTTCGCCACTTGGATGTGGTAGATCTTTCAAAAAACAAGATCCAGAATGTACCTGACACTGTTGGAGAATTGCAGGCTATTGAGCTCAATTTGAATCAAAATCAGGTCAGGTAACAGATATTATGGGCATGTAGATGTAGAACAAGGTTTGTCTTGGTCTTGGTACATCCACAGAAAACATAAGCTGAGACCATAAAAACTTTATAGCTAAAATACATCTCCTGGACACAACAGAAATGAGGGATCATGACTAGAACTGGTGTCCTGATACATTCCAACTGCCTGATTCAACTAACAGATCCTGAACTTAATCACACAAAAAATTATCTGAGCAGTTCTTGAGTAAGAATCTGATAACCAGATGTGTAGGTTCCCTGAAAAATAAGTTACTTGGATTTTTTTACCATTATTGTTGCTTATGCATTGTTGTTAAATAGTTACTGTTAATGTAGCTTACGTTTACAGGATGGTAATTGTTCTATATTAGTCTGAAACAAATAACTTTAAGTAACTTAATCATATATCACTAACATTTCATCCCATTTCTCTTTTTAATTTCTACTAGATTTCTCAGATCTCAGTGCAGATCTCCCACTGTCCACGCCTCAAAGTCTTGCGCTTAGAAGAAAACTGTCTAGAACTCAGCATGCTTCCTGAAAGTATCCTCAGTGATTCCCAGATCTCACTGCTTGCAGTAGAAGGCAACCTCTTTGAAATAAAAAAACTCAGAGAACTGGAAGGTTATGACAAGGTTTGTGGTCTTTGTTTGGTTTGGGTTGTTTTTTTTTCCCCCTGACCTTTTTTTAGAGGAAGCTTCTGTTGGAGTCCTTACCCATTACCCCTCTAGAATACTAAGCTTTTATACTTGTGAGTAAAAGCACAGTCTATTGGTATTGCCACTGGTACTGGATTTGTAACTAACCTATGAAAAGAATTTCAAGAGTTCTTCAAATATAAACTTTCTCATAGGATTCAAGATCAGTTCATTAGCATCTTTTGAAGGGTTGCTACTGATGACAGCTGTGTCTTCACTTTGATGGCACAAAAGTAATAAATGCTTCCTATTATGCATCATTCTTATCTGTTTAATGGTAATTCGTCCTTAACATTTGAGATTTGAATGTTCAGCAGTGAGGGCTTGCCTTGCTTTCTAGACCAATAACCTGAATTACAGCAAATGGCAGATTTTAATTTTTTTTTTTAATTAAAACTCTAATGGCTATGTCTGGGAAATGAAAATACCCTTTAATACAGAGTGCTTTTGATTCTGAGAGCAGAAGCTTAGCTGCTTTCAATAGTAATGAATCATGTATTGATTTCTGAATGGTAATTTTTTTTTTTTCTTTCTAGTACATGGAGCGATTTACTGCAACAAAGAAGAAGTTTGCATAACCATTATTCTGACCCTGTGCATTCCTAGGAAAGAGAGTTAGTGACTAAAGCATCTACTTCACTGACTTAAACCGAGACTGATGAAGGAGATGGTCACAGTATTTCTCCTCTGGTAGTCTGATACGGTCTGTTAAGGCTACATTGAATAAAGCTGAACTAGAGAATATGAATAT